AAAAAACAATTACAAAGCTTCCTTGGTATATTAAATTATGTTGAAGGATTCATTGAAAATTGTACCAAATTAAAAAATTATTTTCTTCCAAAATTAAGAAAAAATATTATGTGGCCTTGGGAAAAACAAGATTATGAAAATATAAGAAAGGTAAAAGAAGAATTAAAGGCATTGCCCAAACTTATAATTTCATAGGAAGAAGATTTCTTTATCCTTGAAACTGATGTTTCAGATAATTTCTGGGGAGCAGTATTAAAGGTTAAAAAGAATCATAAGGAATATAAATGTGAAAAGAATTGTTCTTGTCCTGAAATACTTGCAGGCTATACATCAGGAACATTCAAAGAAGTTGAAACAAGATATGAGACGAATAGAAAAGAAGTCATTGCTGTAAAAAGAGGAGTTCAAAAATATGAAAATTTAACTTTGACCACATTTTTAATATTTAAAGAAGGGGCAAAAGAATAATTTTCTATTTATCATATTAAATAATTACATTTATTAAATTAAAAAATAAGAACTCTCACCCCCACCCTCCACCCCAACCTCAAACGGTCAAACCCTCAACCAACCAAAAATGCATAGCACAATGCAATGGGGGAACCTGTGATCTAGTTGAGGCATAACCCGCGATTTACCCCTCCAAGGTTCTAGGGGCAGGGGTCTTGGGGTCCAAAATTTAATCTAGTGTAAGTTGGGATACTTGGATATAAAAAAAAAAAAATAATAATAATAATAATAATAAATGCATAGCACAACAATTGCACTCTCATTCCATTTCTCTCTCTACCAAGTCTAATTAAGACTACCTCTCTCTACAGATTCAATCCCATTTCTCTCACCCATCGAACACAGATCTCTTTCAAGAATGGTCAGGTGTCGGGCTCAAATTTGGCTCATATTTCTTCGAGTCGTAAAGTGGGTATAATTATCTATTCTTTGAGACCCAATGGGTAGATTTTGGAGCCAAAAAGCCAAATTCTTTCGTTCTGATTGATAATGGCATCATCATCGATTGCGAATCCTGAAGCAAACTCAAATCCATAGTCTAAAAGAGAAGAAAAATCCAGGCGGAAACTTAGACTCAAATTCATTCTGAGGAGATGAGATGGGAGATGGAGGCGATACAATAGATCTACTCATCAAAGCTTGTAAATGCCCTCTACCACCTTCGCGCACCTTGCTTACACCATAGCATTCGGGTAACTTTGCTAAAGGCCGGACTCGATAGAGCAAGGCAATTCTCACCGGTCGACTTAAGTAGTAACTCGATTAGGTCTACAGGAATTATCTGTTCCTTGAGACAGGAGCGGAGCCACAGGATCTCTCCAGTGCAGGCATATTTTTCAGCATCGGCTGCAGTGATTTTTTTTGGCCAAAATTAGTTTATGAATAAAAAACATTGATACGAGATTATTAATACAGCTAATAGTTGATTAATCTAATTGTTTTCTTTATCTACTGTATAGTCCATTGATAACTCAAAACTTAAGATCTTCAGTTTAGTTCCACCAAAACTTAGTAGATACGAGTTCAATCACTACAACATCTCTTTAGCCTCATAATAGATCAAGAATTTAATTTTTCATCATAATCAATTATATTAAACTAAATTACAAGAAAAAGTACTTGGAATTTCCAATTTGCTTCAGCATCCTCCTTCTGTTCACTCACACCATAATCATTTGCCATGTAAAAACAAATGAAGTAACGAACTCAAATCAACAACTCAATCAAAAATTCTGTATATTGAAAAAAAATCCTAGAAAACAAATACAATTACCAGGTCGTGAGAAGTACAAGTAAAGCCAAGGGGATCTAAGATGTCACGAATGGAATGGGAGGTAGAATTGTCAATAAATTTCACAACCCATTTGCAGCTTGGTCTTGAGAAATACCTGTGAAGTCAAATAGGGTTTGACATTGCTTGGACGTGTTTTGCAAATTGCAATTGATTTGTGGAATATTACAATTAAACGATACAAACCCAGGTAGTGGATTGGGTCTAATTTTAAAAAAATGTGGCCTAAAAGAAAAGCCCACAATTAGAAAAAAAAAAAAAAAAATAAAAAAAAAAAAAAAAAAAAAACCCCATTCTTCGACGCTTGTGTGATTGTCGTTCAAACTTTTTCCTCCTGGCGACTGTAAATTTCGACTGTGCTTGAAGCTTCTTCATATGTCAGTTCATGTTCTCTACTTTTCTTCTTTCCTTCCTGGTCGGTTGGTCCAGTGCGACAGTGCAAGCATACTGGAGTTTCTTCTGTCAAACTCAAAATCCAGTGCAGGCATTTGCCTGCATTGGACTTCATATAGCTCCGCCCCTACCTTGAGACCTAGTGGATGCAAAGGCATTAGCTCTTTGAGAAAGGGTTTTGGTTTGCCTAGAGTTTAGATCTTGTCGTAGCTGAGGTGAAATTTGGTGGAGGTTGTTCAATGGCGATTGTGATGGGATAGATGGTCATAATCTGTGGCACGTGGTTGGAGGAGGAGGAGGAGGTGGCGAATGTCGGGCGGTTAAGGGTTTGAGCTGGGGTGGGAGTAGAGGGTAAGAGGAAGAAGATGATTGTTTTGTTTTTTTCTCTCTTCATTTTTAAATTAAATAAATGTAATTATTTAATGTGATAAATAAAAAATTACTTTTTGCCCTTTTTTAAAATATAAAAAATGTGGTCAAAGTTAATTTTTTAATCAACTAACGAAATTGTGTATGAAATTGACCAAAAGAGTCTTACATTTAACGTTTAAAAATGTTAGGAACGACAGATACAACAAATCAAAGGCTTGGAAAAAATCTGTTAGTATTTCAAAGGTTTAGAACTTTTACTGCAATTATTCCTTCAAAAATTTAGCCCCCATTTGGTCCCTATTTTTCCAAATTAAAATGGATGGAATATTATTTTTATGGAGAATGAGTGATTACGTGTAATATTATCTTATGAAAAATTGTCCAATTGAAAATTGGAAAAAAAATGAAATTAATTTAGGCTCCATTTGGTACCCTTTTTTTAAAAATGCATTTTCTCTCTTTTCTTTTCTTTTCAATCCTACATTCTTTATTAAAATAATATTACACGTAAATAAAAATTATTTCTTTATTTTTCAACTATACATTTTCCATCAATTTACTATTCTAAAATTGATTTTTACATAAAAATGGTCTCAAACACTCTCTTAATAGGGGGTCAAACGAGGACTTAACTGCACATTTTTTGAAAAAATTACCATACATGGGCTCGTATGATAGGAATTTTTCACCCAAAAAAATATTATTTTTTGATCATTATTAAACTATTTCAGCTGTCATTTTTGACTTCTTCACTCAATGTGGCACCCACTTTTTTCTAACAGTCAAAAAATTAATTCACATAACATCCATTTTTTTTTCTTTTTCTTTTTCTTTTTCATGGGCTTAATGGTAATACAAGACGCCGAAAAAAAAAGTGATAAGTCCTCTCCCTCGTGTTTTCATGCGCTCTTCAAAGAGATTATGCTAGAAGAATCAATCTTTTGTAAATTGTAATGCTTAATTCTACCTTTTTCTTTTTGGATTGCTTCTTTCTTGTTTAATTTCCGTTCATTTCCTTCATAGTTTTTCCAAAGAACACGACGTAGAAAATCAATTTTTTCAGATATTGAGGGGGTTCTTTTAATGTAGATGTGAACGTGGTATTGATTTTAGTGTTTTTTTTTTGTTTCTTGCGTTAATTTTTTTGCGACCCGTTAAATTTCTTGGAAATTGCAAAATTTCTTCTTCTTTTTTTTTTTTAACCGCATTCTAATTTGTTTAAAACAGTTTTTCTTGTTGAAATTGCAGAATTTGGCCATTGTTTTTGTAAATGTAAAAATAAAATTTGTGTTTAATAATTTCCTTGCTCATTTAACGCTTATGAGTTGAAATTTTTCGAACTCTTTTACTAAAAAAAATTGATGGATTTATTGCAGGGTTTGCAAGAATGTGTGAGTAATTGAGAATTATTGGATAAATCTTATTTGGAAAGGAAACAATTTGATAGCTTTTCAAAGATGAATTGGAACTCGCCAATGGAAGTTCATTACCAAAATCATGCTGTGCCTTATAATTCAATAGGGAGCTTTGTGGATTTTTTCGGAGGTCTTACTTCTGACCATGTAAATTTCATTTCCACCGATGCTCCTTATGCTCAGGTACATTATCGAAATATTTTGATTTGCTTCTCCCTTTTTATTGTTGCTGATAATTGATTAAAATGTAAAAACTTTAAGAGAATTTTTGGACCATATAACACTTGAGATAATTTCACTAGCATAAGTATGCTAAGAAGCTAGGATAGCTTGTTGTTTGCTTAGGCTTGGCTCGCTTGAAGCTGGTAAAATGTTATATATCACGCACTAAGCTTAAAGGGAACTTTTTTTTCGCCAAGCACGTGTGAGGTTTTCGAAAGTTAATTTTTTGACCGAACCATTGACGGTCTTAATGACCATAAAGTTCTAATAGTTTGATGGGTTTTGAGGTCAAAGATTAACCAAGCTTACACACATAAATGCGGTTCTTAATTTTTTCAACTCAGCTTGATATGGCTAGGATGATCTGACAAATATCCGAAACTGTGTAAATGAATGAAGTTAACTTAAGTTAGATGAATTTGATTCCACAGAAGCTTGTTCACGATTTCTAACTGAGCTAGAGCAATCTTTAGATACCTCCACTGCTCAATACAGGACCACTGTGGATTTTGCAGATATTTTAATTTTAGGCCTTAACCAAAAAAGGGTATTCGTTTTTTCCCATTTTTGCAAGAACTTGTACAACAGAGATATTGAGTTGCATACAGAGAATAATGTATGTGATTGCTTCCGACTTTGTGCAGGAGAGTTCTTACTATGCGATGAATACTAATTTATACAAATTTGCGGTAACTGAACTTGAAAGTTCCTCTCACTATGAATCTGCGCATGGCTATGTGGTCAATGATCATATCCAAGGGATTGATGAATATAGCAGGCATTTGGAGAACCCGCCGGTTCCAGCTGATGATCAGGCTACAGCTGCACATGTGCATGAGGAGGAAAATTTGAGCTCCTCTTCATCTTTAGAGTGTAAGTTCTGATTTTGGTTTCCAATCAGTTCATATTCAATTTCATAATTCTCTGTGCCATATGCCAAGATCTTTCAATAAACCACCCCCCCCCCCCCCCCCCCCACAACAAAAAAAATATATATATAAAAAATTTGTGTCTTTCTTTTGACTACGGAAATAAAATCATAATAGTCGTCTTTTGGAAGTGAGAGAGAGAGCTTTAATTTTGTGAGAAATAAATTTTTATGGGAAGAAAACCAAGACACTCCATGTGTTCCTCTGCTTTTGAGTATTACTATTATTCATATTTGACTGTTGTTCTGAATGTTATTTTTCTACTCTTGTGTGACGATCTTGTGTAACTTTGAAGTGAAGCTTGCTGATTTTATTTTATGGCATTGAACATTGATCTTTGGTTTCTCCAGGTCCTAGGAATCAACAGAACACTCGTGACTATGAGGTAAGAGGTTTTCATTTTTGTAGTTATACGTTTCTTTAGCTTTTCATTTTCTTATCATCTCCTTTGCAACTTTAGGGAGGTTATGATTGTTATTAATTGGTAAACTCTTTTGTTAACTAATGCAGGTTGTTTGGGAGGACAATATCGATCCTGACAACATGAGTTATGAGGTTTGGAACTTAATTATGTGTCTTCTGTTTTATGCTTTGCATGTCTTGAGACCTTGTAATAATAATTTTATCAAATGTCTCCTGAGTTCTAAATGGGATGTGTAGTAACTCCGATATTTGTAATTCTAATTAACCCAATGTTATGGGTTATTGTTGCTCTGTTGAAAGCATAGTGAGAACCTATATGCTGATGATGATGTTAGGTGAAAATTTCTATTATTGTAGAATCACAGGGTATACTAGCTTCAGATTATGTTTGGACGATGAAGAACAAAAGTAAGTGCCCATTCTGGATGGGCAAATATATTTGAACACATCCCCTTAGCTTCATATTGGTTTGAGGATGACTTGGCCCCTGTTTGGTCTCATAATCCCAAAAATTTATTCTTCTCTCTCTTCTTTTCAATCACACAATCTTTCTTAACATAATATTATCAGCTAGTTTGGGAGGGATTTTTTACCCAAAAAAATTGATTTTTTGACCGTTATTTTATTATTTCAGTCGTAATTTTTGACTTCTTCTCTCACTAGTGGACCCCACTTTTCTTCTAACGGTTAAAAAATCAATTCTCAAAATTCCTTCCAAATGAGGCCTATATGTAAATCGAAAACTTTTTTTTTTTTTTTTCAACTATACATTCTTAAAAAAAACACTATTCCAAAAATTATAATTTCATATAATGGGGGCCAAACGGGGGGATTAATGTATAATCTGAAGCTGCTCGAGGATGCCAGTGGCGGTGAAGGGGTTGGTGGGGGAGGATAGATTTTTTATCATTCATTTCCTTTCCTTTCCTTTTATTCAAAATAAAGGTATAATGATCTTTATAAGTCCAACGAGCAGCTTCTGTCCATGGGTGATCTAATTCAGCAAAGGTGAAAGATTGGGGGCCTAAGTGCTCCACTATGCATAGATTGGGGAACCCTGGTGTAATTTTCCCTTTCGTAAATGGCTTCTGTTTTGTGGCCATAATTTTCATTTCAGAGTATTGCTTATTTACTTTCATTTTTATCGAGGATACAATGTTCCTTCCGCGAAACAATAGCATCCTAATTTTCAATACATTTCCAGTCTTGCTGTTTTACAGTGGCTGTTCATTTCTTGTTTCTGCAAAGCATGGTGTTAGCACCACCTTCGGTTATCTTGAAAGGGGACAAACAGGTTGCTCCAGATAGGCAGATACTGTCCCTTGGTTTAAGTGGATCGTCTTTCTGGAATATTTTCTACTTTATTCTCTTCTCTGACCTGTCTGTTCTTGTTTGTGAAATTATGAAACTGAGTAGGGATGGTTTTTGGTGCATATTTGGAAAAAAGAATGGACAAATTCTTTATTGTTGTGAACAAAATCTGCGGACTGATCTCTTTAGGCAATTTTCTTGAAATGCATTTAGTTTATTTTGTAGTTGCAAACTATTTTTAATATACATATGGAATAAGAGCAATTCTGGGATTTGGTTATTCAGATTGAATACTTGTACATACTCTCATTCCTTTTCACAGGAGCTACTTGAGCTGGGTGAGGCAGTTGGAACTCAAAGCAGAGGTCTTTCTGAGGATTTCATTGCGTTGCTTCCAATTTCAAAGTTTAAGCGTGGTTTATTCTCAAGAAAGAAATTCAAAGGAGAAAGGTAAGGAGAGTGATGAGGACATCTATATCATCATTTATTTCTAGTTGGGCTTTATCTTTCTTTTGGATTCTTATTTATGTAATTGAGCTTGTATTTACTATTTAAATCTGATTTGTCATGTAATTTCGCTCAGTTGATAAATAAACTTTTTGGTGGCTTGTGGCGAAATTCCTCTTTTCTATTTTCTTCTATCTCCTCTATTGATTCTTCCTATAATCTCTTCTTCTTAGATCTGTTTTCCTTCTCCACCAAGTGTGTCAATTGGTGCTGTATCAAATTTGGTACAGTGCCGAAACTTGGGTAATTTCTCTCTTACAATTCGAAATTTCTTTCCGTCCTCTTCTCAAAAACTTGTAGGACAGCACAAACGAAAGAAGTTGTGAGAGCAACAATTTTCATTTTCAGTTTTTCTTCCTTAGTTGCGAAAAAAAAAGAATTTACTGTTCACAGGTACAGTTCACACCCGTGGGAAAAAAACGAGTGGATACTATCAGATTAGAATTCGTCCACGTGATGAGTGGAAGATCGCCTTTAAAATGAAAGATAGTATTTATGAATGGCTGGTCATGCCTTTTGGGCTAAGCAATGCGCCGAGTACATTTATGTGGGCAATGACATAAACTCTTCGACCTTTCATGGGTAAGTTTCTTGTTGTCTACTTTGATGATATTCTCGTCTATGGTAAGACTAAGGAATACCGAGACCATCTCACACAAGTTTGTTCTAAGTTACATGTAACAAAATTGTATGCTAACGTCAAGAAGTGCTCTTTCTTCACCAATAGAGTTGTTTTCCAAAGATTCATTGTCTCTTCGACCGGGGTATCTGTTGACCCTGTCCAGATTCAGGTGATTCTTGACTGACCTGAACATAAGACTATTCATAACTTTAGGAACTTTCACGGCTTAGCTATATTTTACCGCCGCTTTATCAAGGGATTTAGCACCATCATAGCGCCTATTACAGAGTGCATGAAGAAAGTGGAGTTTCATTAGACACAAGAGGTGGCCAAGGCCTTTTAAGTTAGTCAAGAAGCGAATAACAGAGGCTCTTGTCATGCGTCTTCTTGATTTTTTCAAAGTCTTTGAGGTTGAGTGTGATGCCTTTAGCGCAGGAATAGGTGGATTCCTTAGTCAAGAACGCCATCTTGTTGTTTATTTCAGTGAGAAGTTAAATGATGCCAAATAGCGCTACTCAACCCATGATAAGGAATTGTATGCAGTTGTATAGGCATTGTGCTGCTGTCGCCATTACTTGCTGCCTCAAGAGTTTGTTCTTTATTCAGATCATGAGGCCCTCCATCATTTAAACTTTTAGAAAATGTTGAATTCTAGGTATAGTCGCTGGATTGAATATTTGCAGGCCTATTCTTTTGTTTTGGAACATAGAAGGGTGTAGAGAATCAAGCAGCTGATGCTTTAAGTCATCGTGTCTCCCTTTTGTCGATCATGAGCATTAAAGTCATAGATTTTGAAAGACTTAAGGAAGATTACGAAACGTGTCTTGATTTTAAGGATATATTTCTTGATGTGCAAGGTGGGCGAGCCAGCAATGTGGATGGTTTTCGTCTTGAGGGTTACCTTTTTAGAGCTAATAAATTGTATATCCCTCGACAGTGCGGGATTTCATAGTGTGGGAAATTCATGCGGGAGACTTAGTCGGTCACTTTGGGCGTGATAAGACTATAGAGGAGGTTGAACGTCAATTTTATTGGTTTTGTTTGAAGAAAGATGTGTTTAAGATAATTAGCACATGTACTACTTGTTAGTTGTCTAAATAGAAGAGACGAAACACTGGTCTATACACACCTTTTCCCGTCCTTAGTTGCCAATGACAAAATGTTAGTATGGATTTTGTATTAGGACTTCTATGCACCCCAATGAAACATGATTCTATTTTTGTGGTCGTCGATTGTTTTTCGAAAATGGCCCATTTTATCCCTTGTAGCAAGACCTTAAATGCGTCCAAGGTTGTCACGTTGAACTTTAATGAGATTGTCAAATTGTATGGGCTTTCTAAAACCATTGTGTTGGATAGGGATGTTTGTTTCACTAACCATTTTTGGATAACCTTGTGGCAAAAGGTTGGTACCAAATTGAAATTTTCTATGGCCTACCACCCTCAGACTGGTGGTCAAATGGAAGTGGTTAACCGTAGTCTTTCTAATTTGTTAAGATGTCTAATAGCTCCATGAATTGATCATTAGGCTCCCGTTTGGCCCCCATTTTTCGGAAATGAAAATAGGTGGAATAGTGTTTTTTTGAAAAAATGAGTGGTTGAAAAAGAAGGAAAAGTTTTTGATTTATGTGTAATATTATTTTATGGAAAATTGTGTGGTTAAAAATAAGAGAATGAAAAATGGAATATAATGGAATGAAATTCAAACATGGGCTAGGTATGAGTCCGTTTGAGGTTGTTCATGGGTATAAGTCTAGGAAGCCGTTAGATCTCATTCCAGTGTCCCCACATGCTAGAGTGTTTGTGTCAGTCGAGGCATTTGCACAGCACCTTCGTGATTTGCATGTTGAGATCAATAAACAACTTGAAACCAGTAATGCAAAATATAAACTCCGAGTTGATTTACATAAACGACATGTTGAGTTTAATATTGAGTATTATGTTATGGTCCGAATTAGGCTAGAGTGGCGTCTACTTGGACTCGCCTCCAAATTGCAAGCTCGTAGTACTGGTCCTTCTAAAATTTTAAAGCAAGTTGGCTCAAATGCATATGTTGACATCCCACCACACCTTGGTTGCCACTCTACTTTCAATGTTGAGGACTTAGTTGCTTATAAAGGCCATTTCAACCCCTCTAATGATTCGCTTCCTTATTCGTTGGGTTGATCAACCAGATTTCAATTGTACATGGATTTTCAGAGAGACACTATAACAATTGGACCCAAATCTATTGGAGCTCTATCGGAGTCAGCAGGATCTTCCTTGGCCCAGATTGCCTCCCATCCACTCAGAGAGAGTTGGTGAGGACACCAGATTAAGACTTCAACTGAAACATTTTTACAGACGTCAGAAGAAGCTTGCCTAACCACTCAACTTATGATTGGGAGATTGATTGCAGCCTATCGTGATCTATCAACTCGACAGGGTCGAGTTTTTTACCACATCGAGGGAGTTGATGAGGACATCTATTTCATCATTTATTTCTAGTTCGACTTTATTTTTGTTTTCGATTCTTATTTATGTAATTGGGCTTGTATTGGTCCAAGTCCGTTCTAGTTAGGGTTTTATTTTTACTATTTGAATCTGATTTGCCATGTAATTTCGCTCAGTTGATGAATGAATAAACTTTTTGGCGGCTTGTGGCGAAATTACTCTTTTCTATTTTCTTCAATTTCTTCTATCTCTATTGATTCTTCTATTGTTCTTCCTATAATCTCTTCTTCTTAGATCTGTTTTCTTTCTCCACAACTGTGTCAATTGGTGCTGCATCAGGGAGCCATAAAAATTCTTTTCCTACCAAACTTATGACCGAAACTTGTATGTAAATTTTATATTGTAATGATTTTCACAGCAATATGCATGTTTGTCTAAACCTAGAAGTCCAACTTATCTTTTATTTTAGGCATGTTTCTCTATCCTTAAAAGTGAATCTTTTTCTTTTAAGTAACAAACATTATTAAGGGTCGCCAATTTTCGATAATAAACTGACAACTGCCTAATTTAGCCGTATTACAACCCATATCATAGTCCAAATTCTATTAAATACTAGAAATATAAAAAATCTAATTTTAAATATTTAAAGTATCATGATATTTTTTTCTGTCACTAACAGGTGCGTAGTTTGCCAGATGGAGTACAAACGAGGTGATCGGCAGATGACCCTTCCATGCAAACATATCTACCATGCTGCTTGTGGGAGTAGATGGCTTAGCATCAACAAGGTAAGCCACCTGCCTTCCTCGAAAGGTAGATTAGTATGAAATAACGTTGCTAACAGTTCCTAATATATCAGGCTTGCCCAATTTGTTACAAGGAGGTGGCTATTAATGTCCCCAAGCATTAGAAAAATAGTTTTATACGATGGTGGCTTCATCTTGCCTTTTTTTTGAGGTTATAGTGCTTTTCATACAACTTTTTTACTTTTCCTTTTCATATCTATTTCTTTCTTTCTTTTATATTAACTTAGGAAAGCTAAAATTTATGGTAATATAACCGCTTTTGTAACCTGAAAGAACTTATGGATGTATATTTGTTACTTGACTCATATTTGAAATTGCTTAAAGGACAACTCAACTTAGCTTTCAGTTTCTGCTGTTAGATATATTAGCATTATACATTGAAGTGGCAGCTGTAACAAAAAAAATTAGAGCCAGAAAACAATTTCAAAGAAGAAAAAGTGTTGCCGAATGAACTACAGTGGTAAAATTCGATGACATTAAACATATCATTTCCTAGTAAAATCAAGCTAATTCTTTTTAGTGCAGCTGATGCCACTGGTTCAGTTTTCATGCTAAATATTTCTTGCACTTATCATACTTTGCTGTTGTTGGAGTGATTCGCCATATGTTCAATCTTACCCCTTAATACTTCATTGGTCAGACATTTTTATTGAAGGTTGTGCCCATTACAAGTATAAATTCAAATATTAGTATAGTGATCATCACTTTTTAGACTTAAATTGAAGAATAAAAAGTAGTTTGAGGAAAGGAATCATAAATCTTAATAATGTTTGTGGTAAGTTACAAACATAACAATTGTACAATTGATGCTTCTTGCAGATACAAACATCTAGGATCTCTTTAAGACCCTACTTATTGAATATAAAAGTTGATCAATAATTAGAAAAATTACACAATTATTTTAAATGCCTTCCATAGGAAGTGTTCTCTCTTTGAACTCCATTGTAATGTCGCAAATGTTGTCATGCTAGTAGTGTTTCGGAGGTGGAGGTGGAGGTGGAGGTGAAGAGTAGTAGTATGGTGGTGGTTGCGACAAAGATGGTGGGGGATGTGACTTGTAATAATATGGAGGATTTGGTAATGGAGATGGTGGAGGCGACTTGTAGTAGTATGAAGGAGGTGGTGACGGAGATGGAGGCGGCGGTGATTTGTAGTAGTAAGGTGGTGGCAACGATTGAGATGGAGGAGGTGGTGATTTATATAAATATGGTGGGTGCTCCAATTGTTTTGGTGGTGGTGGTGACTTGTAGTAGTATGGTGGAGATGCTGATGAGTAGGAGTACTTTGGTGGGGGAGGTGATAAGTAGGAGTACTTGTTTGGTGGAGGAGATGACTTGTAGTATGGTGGAGGTGGTGATGAGTATGAGTACTTCGGTGGGGGAGGTGACGAGTAGGAGTACTTCTTTGCTGGTAGAGGTGATGAGTGGGAGTACTTCATTGGTGGAGGGGATGTCTTGTAGTTGTATTGTGGGTGCTCAACATATTTTGGAGGTGGTGGTGACTTGTAGTAGTATGGTGGGGGAAGAGGTGAGTAGGAGTACCTCTTTGGTGGTGGAGGTGATGGGTAGGAGTACTTCAATGTGATGCAGGACGAAGTAAAGAATAGAAACAAGAAGTAAGAAAGAGGGGAGAACCGAAGAGAATGGGGGGAGAAACCGGAGAAGAAGCAGAAATTCATGGGGAAGAAGGGGAGGGGAGCAGAGGGAGAGGAAGGAGAAGCCATAGGCAACAAACCACTAAAATATTCTTCAATTCATAAAAATCTAAAGGAAATTACCAGGGAAATTAGGTTTAAATAGTAAAAATAAAACCCTAACTAGAATGGGCTTAGGCCAATACAAGCCCAATTACATAAATAGAATCTAGAACATAAATAAAATCCAACTAGAAATAAATAAAAAATGATGTCCTCATTACAATGGTGGAGGGGATGAGTTGTAGTGGCGTTGAGGGTGCTCAACGTGCTTTAAAGGTGGTGACTTGTAGTAATATGGTGGGGGAGGTGATGAGTAGTACTTCTTTGGTGATGGAGGTGATGAGAAGTGCTTCAATGGTGGTGGGGGTGACTTGTATTGGGGGTGCTTAACATGCTTTGGAGGTGGTGGTGACGAGTAGTGCTTCTTTGGTGGAGGGGCTGATGAGTAGGAGTACTTCTTAGGAGGGGGTGATTTAGAGTAATATTGTGGGCTATCTACTTGCTTTGGAGGTGGTGGTGACTTATAGTAGTATGGTGGAGGTGGTGTTGATGATGGAGGAGGAGGTGATTTGTAGTAGCATGCTGGAGGTGGTGGTGATTTGTAGTAGTACTTTTTCGGTGGTGGTGGTGGTGACTTGTAATGTTAGGGTGGGTGCTTTATGTATTTTGGTGGTGGAGGTGATTTGTAGTAATATGATGGATGCTCCAAAAGCTTTGGTGGCGAGGCGTAAGTGTATGGTTTATGGGCGGCCCTGCTAAGCAAAATGCCATTGCATATAGGATGATAAGCCATTGGCCTGGTTTTTCTGGGATTCCCATTTTGGAACTTTGGGTTGTGTGGTTAATTAGGATGGTGCCTTCCCATTTATATAGTCATCTGATGGAGCAAGCTGCTGATAATGGTATTTTTGTTTAATTAAGAAAATAGGCTTAAAGTTTAATCATATCCTTACATGTTTACAACTACAGGATCATGGCTTCCAACTAACTAGAATTTTATTCATATTCATTATAATTTTGAAATAGTCCAGACTTAGACTAGGTATCATATGTTGTACGGCTGGATGTACTTTCTGAATATTAACATCCCTTTGTTTTATGACCTTTGTAGGGGTTGGGGCGAGATCGGGATCGGATTGTGTTCGACCGGTGGAGAAGTCTTTTCAGATCATCTATTACACTGTTGGAGTATATTTATTTGCTAGTGCTGAAGGGGAACTTGTTGATAGTAAATATCTATCCTCTCCTAAAAACTACCCCAGTAGTTTATCTCAAGAAGTTTTATATACATAATTTAAGAATAGTTTCACAGACACCATAATGATGTAAAAAGATAATGAATTTGGTAAATCTTGTACTCAAGTTCACATAATTTTTATAATTTTTATGTTTGTAACAGTGGATTTTTTTTCTTTTTTTTCTTTTTTGGAGGGTATGTTTTTATACATTTAGACAAATTACCCATATCATAGTCCAAATTCTATTAAATACTAGAAATATAAAAAATCTAATTTTAAATATTTAAAGTATCATGATATTTTTTTCTGTCACTAACAGGTGCGTAGTTTGCCAGATGGAGTACAAACGAGGTGATCGGCAGATGACCCTTCCATGCAAACATATCTACCATGCTGCTTGTGGGAGTAGATGGCTTAGCATCAACAAGGTAAGCCACCTGCCTTCCTCGAAAGGTAGATTAGTATGAAATAACGTTGCTAACAGTTCCTAATATATCAGGCTTGCCCAATTTGTTACAAGGAGGTGGCTATTAATGTCCCCAAGCATTAGAAAAATAGTTTTATACGATGGTGGCTTCATCTTGCCTTTTTTTTGAGGTTATAGTGCTTTTCATACAACTTTTTTACTTTTCCTTTTCATATCTATTTCTTTCTTTCTTTTATATTAACTTAGGAAAGCTAAAATTTATGGTAATATAACCGCTTTTGTAACCTGAAAGAACTTATGGATGTATATTTGTTACTTGACTCATATTTGAAATTGCTTAAAGGACAACTCAACTTAGCTTTCAGTTTCTGCTGTTAGATATATTAGCATTATACATTGAAGTGGCAGCTGTAACAAAAAAAATTAGAGCCAGAAAACAATTTCAAAGAAGAAAAAGTGTTACCGAATGAACTACAGTGGTAAAATTCGATGACATTAAACATATCATTTCCTAGTAAAATCAAGCTAATTCTTTTTAGTGCAGCTGATGCCACTGGTTCAGTTTTCATGCTAAATATTTCTTGCACTTATCATACTTTGCTGTTGTTGGAGTGATTCGCCATATGTTCAATCTTACCCCTTAATACTTCATTGGTCAGACATTTTTATTGAAGGTTGTGCCCATTACAAGTATAAATTCAAATATTAGTATAGTGATCATCACTTTTTAGACTTAAATTGAAGAATAAAAAGTAGTTTGAGGAAAGTAATCATAAATCTTAATAATGTTTGTGGTAAGTTACAAACATAACAATTGTACAATTGATGCTTCATGCAGATACAAACATCTAGGATCTCTTTAAGACCCTACTTATTGAATATAAAAGTTGATCAATAATTAGAAAAATTACACAATTATTTTAAATGCCTTCCATAGGAAGTGTTCTCTCTTTGAACTCCATTGTAATGTCGCAAATGTTGTCATGCTAGTAGTGTTTCGGAGGTGGAGGTGGAGGTGGAGGTGAAGAGTAGTAGTATGGTGGTGGTTGCGACAAAGATGGTGGGGGATGTGACTTGTAATAATATGGAGGATTTGGTAATGGAGATGGTGGAGGCGACTTGTAGTAGTATGAAGGAGGTGGTGACGGAGATGGAGGCGGCGGTGATTTGTAGTAGTAAGGTGGTGGCAACGATTGAGATGGAGGAGGTGGTGATTTATATAAATATGGTGGGTGCTCCAATTGTTTTGGTGGTGGTGGTGACTTGTAGTAGTATGGTGGAGATGCTGATGAGTAGGAGTACTTTGGTGGGGGAGGTGATAAGTAGGAGTACTTGTTTGGTGGAGGAGATGACTTGTAGTATGGTGGAGGTGGTGATGAGTATGAGTACTTCGGTGGGGGAGGTGACGAGTAGGAGTACTTCTTTGCTGGTAGAGGTGATGAGTGGGAGTACTTCATTGGTGGAGGGGATGTCTTGTAGTTGTATTGTGGGTGCTCAACATATTTTGGAGGTGGTGGTGACTTGTAGTAGTATGGTGGGGGAAGAGGTGAGTAGGAGTACCTCTTTGGTGGTGGAGGTGATGGGTAGGAGTACTTCAATGTGATGCAGGACGAAGTAAAGAATAGAAACAAGAAGTAAGAAAGAGGGGAGAACCGAAGAGAATGGGGGGAGAAACCGGAGAAGAAGCAGAAATTCATGGGGAAGAAGGGGAGGGGAGCAGAGGGAGAGGAAGGAGAAGCCATAGGCAACAAACCACTAAAATATTCTTCAATTCATAAAAATCTAAAGGAAATTACCAGGGAAATTAGGTTTAAATAGTAAAAATAAAACCCTAACTAGAATGGGCTTAGGCCAATACAAGCCCAATTACATAAATAGAATCTAGAACATAAATAAAATCCAACTAGAAATAAATAAAAAATGATGTCCTCATTACAATGGTGGAGGGGATGAGTTGTAGTGGCGTTGAGGGTGCTCAACGTGCTTTAAAGGTGGTGACTTGTAGTAATATGGTGGGGGAGGTGATGAGTAGTACTTCTTTGGTGATGGAGGTGATGAGAAGTGCTTCAATGGTGGTGGGGGTGACTTGTATTGGGGGTGCTTAACATGCTTTGGAGGTGGTGGTGACGAGTAGTGCTTCTTTGGTGGAGGGGCTGATGAGTAGGAGTACTTCTTAGGAGGGGGTGATTTAGAGTAATATTGTGGGCTATCTACTTGCTTTGGAGGTGGTGGTGACTTATAGTAGTATGGTGGAGGTGGTGTTGATGATGGAGGAGGAGGTGATTTGTAGTAGCATGCTGGAGGTGGTGGTGATTTGTAGTAGTACTTTTTCGGTGGTGGTGGTGGTGACTTGTAATGTTAGGGTGGGTGCTTTATGTATTTTGGTGGTGGAGGTGATTTGTAGTAATATGATGGATGCTCCAAAAGCTTTGGTGGCGAGGCGTAAGTGTATGGTTTATGGGCGGCCCTGCTAAGCAAAATGCCATTGCATATAGGATGATAAGCCATTGGCCTGGTTTTTCTGGGATTCCCATTTTGGAACTTTGGGTTGTGTGGTTAATTAGGATGGTGCCTTCCCATTTATATAGTCATCTGATGGAGCAAGCTGCTGATAATGGTATTTTTGTTTAATTAAGAAAATAGGCTTAAAGTTTAATCATATCCTTACATGTTTACAACTACAGGATCATGGCTTCCAACTAACTAGAATTTTATTCATATTCATTATAATTTTGAAATAGTCCAGACTTAGACTAGGTATCATATGTTGTACGGCTGGATGTACTTTCTGAATATTAACATCCCTTTGTTTTATGACCTTTGTAGGGGTTGGGGCGAGATCGGGATCGGATTGTGTTCGACCGGTGGAGAAGTCTTTTCAGATCATCTATTACACTGTTGGAGTATATTTATTTGCTAGTGCTGAAGGGGAACTTGTTGATAGTAAATATCTATCCTCTCCTAAAAACTACCCCAGTAGTTTATCTCAAGAAGTTTTATATACATAATTTAAGAATAGTTTCACAGACACCATAATGATGTAAAAAGATAATGAATTTGGTAAATCTTGTACTCAAGTTCACATAATTTTTATAATTTTTATGTTTGTAACAGTGGATTTTTTTTCTTTTTTTTCTTTTTTGGAGGGTATGTTTTTATACATTTAGACAAATTAGACGCAAAATTAGAGGATTATTCTCTTATCTACAGGTGTGTAGTATTTTGATAGGATTGAAAAATATAACGGACGAGATTTCGCCTTCTTTTTTCCTTTATATAACGTCCATCCAACGATGGACAATGTTGTACAGTTCACACTACAGAACAAGAACAAACTAGGTCATCGGTATATAATTACACCCGATATCTAAAACATGGAATATTTTAAATATTTCATGTGTTTATGGGAAATTTCACTCCTTTTTCTTTGTTAGTTATATATTTGATGAAAGCTTATGCTGATAACATGCACGAACGTGGGAGCCTCATAGCTTCGAGCACATAAAAGATGTCGAAAACTTGTCTAGCCTAATATAATTTTTTTGAGAGATCTCACTTCCATCTTTACTATAAATTGTCTATGCTAATTTGTATTTAAAGATATTCTTGTTTTTTGTTTTCACTATAAACTTTATTTGACTTCTCTCGCTCTCACTACAAAAATTATAGATTTAGGATGAATTTTTTTCTTTTGAAAACCTTCTCAACAAAACAGTCAAAAAATGACTCTTTTTGATGAAAATTTACTGATATTTTCGTTGTTAAAGTGAAATTTCTTTTAACTCTCTGCGGAATCCATCTACGGATTCAATGATTTTTACGAAAGTTTAGAAAAATATAACATCTTCACCATGAAGAGTAACGATGAGTCCGTAAATGCCCTTTAGGAGATGATTCTGTAGAAGATCTAGTATTTTAAAAGTCCAAGCTTGTGGCGCACGTTAACAATGTTCTATAATTTATGCTGTTCTCCTCCTTTTTTATTTCTTAATTGTGATGTCTCCCTCCTACATTTTGTAGTAATAAAATTCTGTAACCTGAAATAACTTATAGAAGTACATTTGTTGCTTTACTCATATTTCAAATTGCTTAGAAAACCCCTCAAATTAGCTTTCATTTTTCGTTGTTCGATGTACTAGGATTATCCTTTGAAGTGGCAGATATAACAAAAAAATTAGTGCCAAAAAACAATTTCAAAGAAGAAAAATATTGCCGAATGAACCACATGGGTAAAATTCGATGACATTAAACATGTCATTTCCTAGTAAAATCGAGATATTTCCTTTTAGTGTAGCTGATGCCACTGACTTCTAAATATTTCTTGCACTTACTGTGCTAAATTTGAGGTGGTTAAAGTGATTCCCCACGTATGCAAGCTTACCCTTTTATGCTTCATTGATTAGACATTTTTATTGAAGGTAATGCCCATTACAAGTATAAATTTAAATATCAACGTAGTGTACCTCACCATTTAGACTTGAATTGATGAATAGAAACCAGAGGACAGGAAGTAATGCTTGTGGTAAGTTACACATATAACAACAATTGTAGAAAAAACTGATACAGTGAATGCTTCATGCAGATACGATCATCTAGGATCTCCTTCATGACCTCTACTTATTGAATACATAAAGTTGTTCAAAAGATAGAAAAATTACTCAATTATTCCAAAAATATTCCATAGGAAGTAACCTTTTTTCTTTAAACTCCAATTTAATGTTGCAAATTGTTGTCGTGCTAGTAGTGTTTTGGAGGTGGAGGAGAAGAGTAGTAGTATGGTGGCGGCGGTGATGGAGATGGTGGAGGAGGTGACTTGTAGTAATATGGAGGTGGTGGTGATGAAGATGGAGGCAGTGGTGATTTGTAGTAAGGTGGTGGTGGAGATTGAGATAGAGGAGGTGATTTATATAAATATGGTGGATGCTCTGAGTTCTCAACATGCTTTGTAGGTGATGGTGACTTGTAGTAGTATGGTGGAGGTGGTGATGAGTAGGAGTACTTTGGTGGGGGAGTTGATGACTGGGAGTACTTCATTGGTGGAGGGGGTAACTTTGAGGTATTGTGGGTGCTCAAAACATTTGCATTTATTGTTTTGAATAAATTCCTTAATATTCATGGTTGAGCCATACAGTCCTAATGAATTCTAAATTAAAGATGTCATTTGACATAACAATCTTTCTGACTCTTTTCATCAACAAAAAATTTAATTAACAAGAAACTTCATTTTCAATCTTTTGTAGAGTTGAGAGCAGTCTGGTTCGGTTCGGTTCTAACGAGAATTGAATCGGATCTAAAATTTTTGGGTATTTAATAAGTGGAATTGTTTGGTCCAAATTTAATTATGAAACTATTCGGGTTCGGTTCGATTCTATTCGATTCCTGGATTTTGCACTATACTTAATTCTTTTAATATTTACAAAGCTACATTAATTCAACTAATGATATGTTTAATCTTAGCTCTTACTAGACAATGTATGGTGGTGGAGGAGAAGAATAGTAGTATGGTGGTGGTGCCGTGGCGGTGATGTAGATGGTGGAGGAGGCGACTTGTAGTAATACGGAGGTGGTGGTGATGAAGATGGAGGCGGCGGTGATTTGTAGTAGTAAGGTGGTGGCGGAGATTGAGATTGAGATAGAGGAGGTGATTTATATAAATATGGTGGATGCTCTGAGTGCTCAACATGCTTTGTAGGTGATGGTGACTTGTAGTAGTATGCTGGAGGTGGTGATGAGTAGGAGTACTTTGGTGGGGGAGTTGATGAGTAGGAGTACTTCATTGGTGGAGGGGGTAACTTTGAGGTATTGTGGGTGCTCCACATTTTTTGGAGGTGGTGGTGACTTGTAGTAGTATGGTGGAGGTGGTGATGAGCAGGAGTACTTTGGTGGGGGAGGTGATGAGTAGGAGTACCTCTTTCGTGGTGGAGGAGACAAGTAGGAGTACTTTGGTGGAGGGGGTGATTTGTGGTGGTATTGTGAGTGCTCAACATGCTTTGGAGGTGGTGGTGACTTGTAATAGTATGGTGGGCGAGGTGATGAGTAGGAGTACTTTGGTGGAGGAGGTGATGAATAGGAGTACTTCTTTGGTGGTGGAGGGGGTGACTTGTAGTGGTATTGTGGGTGTTGAACATCCTTTGGAGGTGGTGGTGATTGTAGTAGTATGGTGGAGGTGATGATGATGAGTACTTTGGTGGGGGAGGTGATGAGTAGGAGTACTTCTTTGGTGGTGGAGTGTTGAACATCCTTTGGAGGTGGTGGTGATTGTAGTAGTATGGTGGAGGTGATGATGAGGAGTACTTTGGTGGGGGAGGTGATGAGTAGGAGTACTTCTTTGGTGGTGGAGGAGATGAGTAGGAGTACTTCATCGGTGGAGGGGGTGACTTGTAGTGGTATATATGGACTTTATTGTTTAAGATGATCACTATATTTTGGACAGTATTTTATAAATTCGAATTACGAAAGGAGAATAAGTATAATTCTCATCAATCGCCCATTACACTTACCTATCATTTCTTACCAAATATGTCCTTAGGCACTTGTGATTCGTTTGATAAACTAGATGGTATAGTACCAGAAACTTGTGAGTTTCCTTTTCAGTTCTTTAACGGTCACCTTCTCTACTAGTTTCGAGTCGGCGAGCATACAACAATGACAAATATCGTGCTAGTTACATTTCATCACATCTCTATTCAGAACCAAGAAAAAATCTGAAATATATAAATGATTTATGTATAAATTCAGTTTTCAAGTTCGAAATTTAATAAAAATAATATTTAGTTCTTTTTTTGGTCTTGCCCAAGACGCAAGAAGTTAAAAATGGCAGATAGCTGAAGGAGGCAGAGACACAACATTTGCATTTATTGTTTTGAATAAATTCCTTAATATTCATGGTTGAGCCATACAGTCCTAATGAATTCTAAATTAAAGATGTCATTTGAAATAACAATCTTTCTGACTCTTTTCATCAACAAAAAATTTAATTAACTAGAAACTTCATTTTCAATCTTTTGTAGGGTTGAGCACAGTCTGGTTTGGTTCGATTCTAACGAGAACTGAATCAGATTTAAAATTTTTGGGTATTTAATAAGTGGAATTGTTTGGTCTAAATTTAATTATGAAACCATTCGAGTTCGGTTCGATTCGACTCAATTGCTGGATTATGTACTATAATTAATTCTTTTAATAATTACAAGCTACATTAATTCAACTAATGACATGTTTAATGTTAGCTCTTACTAAACAACGTAATTCAATTTTATGTGTCTTTTACATTTCACTTTGTAGAGTTCTTCATATTTTTTATTGTTAAAATCACAGAAAGAGAAAGGTAGCGAGCTCACAATAATTAAAAGAGACACTGTCGAGTTTCAATTCGATTTTTTCAAAACAGTGGAAACGACACTACGGTAAAAGAACAAATTTTGATAAAACTTTGATCAATTTGATTAAATTGGGTTTGGACTAAAAACTAGAAATAGGAAAATCATATTTTTGGGTTTAAGCCAAATTAACTAATTAGTAAATTTATTTTAAAAAAATAATATAATTTGGTTTATTTAAAATAAATAAATTAAAAAAATTATGGAGGTTCGGTTCTTTGGTTCTTGATCTAGAACCGAGAATCGAACCGAACTTGTTGATTCTTGATTCAGATATCCGTTTGGATATTTAATTTAAGAAGAACCGCTTGATTCGGGTCCGTTCGAGAGTTTTGACTAGTCCTAATCTTTTGCAACGTGCTTCATTATGCAGAGATTAGAGCAAGATGGCATATTATCCACTGCTAATCTTTGATTTGTTTGTGGATACTCTGAACAAATATTCATATCTTAGTGCAAAACATTATCCATTTTTTAAGATTTGTGAAGATTAGTTGACTTATTTATGGGAGATTTGAGTTAGCCAGGCTGTTTGTTTCATTATTTAACAATGTCACTCTCTGAAATGTTTTGATGCTATCACTCCATAAAGATTAGCAAGTTGGTTTACCATTTAGATCACCTTCTAAATATTTGCAACGGAATTTTATAAAAGGAAAAAGGATTATTGAAAGCCTTTAATTTTATGTTGTATCAAGGTACAACGTTGTAAAACACTTGCACTTTCTAATTGCTCTCTGTTTTCTTCCCTGTGGTTGTGGTTTGGGTTGGGGGTTGAGCGGGGTTCTTATAGTAAAAGGAAATAATATTTGAGTAGGAGGAGGAAACTTACCAAAAGAGGTCAAGGTCTTTTCTATAAATTAAATTCATGCCATTGCATCGAGAAAAATTGCACTTGGCATCAAGGTAATGTAAATGCCGTCAGAGAATTTTAAGCATCCAAAATTGTGAGAGTTAAGAAAGCTAAAATTGGTTATAGAAATAGAAAAATTTGAGGAAAATGATACAAACTTTTGTGTGTCTGTTAGACAATTTGTTGTCAAACGACCCCTCGGGAAATGATGTAACCTCGGTTTTATTTATTATCAATCGGCCTTGGCTATATGATTGAATTATATGTCGACACTATTATCGAAACAATCCAACCCACATCTCTATGGACAGTTAGAAGCAACCTATTTTAATAGTGTTGCTCATGGTTCGTCTCACTTACTTGGAGGGCTATGGTATTAATTTGGAGCACATTACCTTATGTTGAGCCTTGTTTGGTCCACTAAGATAACCTAACCCAACTTACCATTTTTGGTCCCTCTTTTAGCTTATAATCTTCGGCTTCTCTACGCCTCTACTATGAAGAATACTCCATCTCTTTCTGTGACTTTGATTCTCTGTTTCTTCGCTTCATATAACCTGTGTGGTTTCTCGTAGGAAATCAATTGCTCTTCATCTTGGCCAACTCTTTGTGAGTATATATATAGCAACCGGAGGTGGGAAGAAAAGAGGTGAAGTTGGGTCTTGTCTCAATCGCGGTTGTGTCGATATATTGTGGAAACTGAGCCTGATTATACCTTTGTTATTGCTGGAATTTAACTATACAATTGGTATCAGAGCGACCGATCATCTTCTCCGGCCAGAAATCGACCAAAACGGAGGCGGGTTTCGCGATTTCTTCAAAGGGACCGAAACTGCAATTGCTTATTCGAACAAACGCGACCTCCGTTGGACGAACGGAGGCCGGACCCATAATGAGCAGGTGGAGGTGCCTTCGGTGGTGAGGCGTGTGGCGGTCCGGCAGCGGCACGTGGAGGACCTCCTGCGTGGTTTTTTCGTGCCATTTCACTCATTTTGATTTTCTGAACATACTAATATGTCTGGTTTAGTGTTTCAGGTTGAGCAGAAAAGATTGGACGATTTTGCCTCTACCTTCAATCTGGATTTGTTGCTGATCAGAATTGCTATATTTGCTGAATCTTTAGGACGATTAGTAGTGGCTCTAAAGCAGCAAATTCGCATCTTTCCACGTTACGGACTCAGATAGGTCCGCTCTGGTAAATTGGCTGAAACCTTTATATTTCTGCACTAGTAGATCATCGTGTGGGGTGATCATTAGGTTTGGGGGTTGTCATTACTTGACAATCATTGTTTGTGCTAGAAATTAGAGATACTTGCTCTTAATTGGTTGATCGAGTATTTATTTTTGGTTAAAATCAGTTTGTAATTCTTAGTGATCTAATTACTGTGAAACTAGTTATCTGCTAGACATATCATTTGTTGCATTGTTACTTCCGCCGCTTACTTATTCTGTTAGAACTACAGTGACCTTACCCATTCGAACATTCCCTTGATCTAAGACTACGAGTCTTACGAAACCTTGGGAATCTAGAACGGTATATACTGTCTGTGACCCTAGGACTATTTTGTGTGGTTTGATTGTAGTTTGTGCATTCTTTGACTGTTGTGTAAAGATGACAACTTACAACTTTGATTTGGGGATTTTTAATGGAAAGGGTGATTTTGCTATTTGGCAATAAAAAATGAAGGGCATTTTAGTCCAACAAAAGGTTTCAAAGGCCATTGAAGGTAATTTTTCAACTGATTTTTCACAAGAACAAAGAGAAGAAGCTGATGAGCTTACTTATACCTCAATCATTTTACACTTGTCTGACGCCGTTTTAAGAAGGGTGGGTAAGCTGAAAATCACTAAAGAACTTTGGAAAAAATTAGAAGACTTATATTTTCTTAAGTCTACACCGGATAAACTTTACTTGCTCGAACATTTTTTCAGTTTTAAAAGGATCCTTCAAAGGATCTTGATGACAATTTAGACGTGTTTGACAAATTGGTGCAAGATATAGTTAATTGTGATGAGACTGTGTCTAAAACTTATAAGGCCATAATTTTGCTCAATACAATTCCTGATTCCTGAAATTGAGTATGGTAGTTAAGAACGCCATTAAGTATGGTAGAGACACGTTGTCACTTGAAATTGTCATAGATTCCCTTAGAAGTAAAGAAATGGAAATTAGGACTGAAAAACACGATAAGAGAAATGGTGATGTACATATGATGCAGGATAGAACTCAATTTAAGCAAAATAGTCATGATGGATATCAAACTAGTGGCGAGTCAAGTGGTAATGGATGAAAAAAGAAGAACAAAGGTAGGTCTAGATCAAAATCTAGGATTAAGGCAAGAAAATACTATGGTTGTGGAAACACGGGGCATTTTATAAATGATTGTCATAAAGAGAAGGGTAAGCTAAAGGTTAAGGAGAGAGATGAGGTCAATGTGTTAGCATCTACTTCCGATATAAATGGTGGTGAGGTCTATATGATTACAAGTCCCATTGCATATATTGCTGAATTAAATCTAACTGCTAATTCCCGCATGCATGAGCGGATACTTGACTCTGGTGCATCTTTTCATGTGACGTCTGAAAAGAATTGGTTTTATAAGTTGCATGAATCTAATGTTGTGCTGTGTGATAACTTTGTCTATACTATTATTGGAATTGGTGACATAAACGTAAAATTTGACACAGGTTTTGTGTATACGTTAAAAGATCTTAGATATATTCCTGAGTTGTCTAGGAATCTGATTTTAGTAGGGAGACTTGAAAAGGATGACTTTACTAGTAAAATTGAAAATGGTATGTTAAAAATGATCAAGGATACTTTAGTTTCCATTAAGAAAATTAAGAAAAACGATATATAAATTACTACTGGGGAAGTGATTAGAGGCGTGAACCCCTCTATCTCCTCTGCCAAGATTGATCACACACATACATGGCATAATAGACTTGCTCACGTAGGCATCAAGGGATTTAAGCTTCTTAATGAAAAATGTGCTTTTGGTAATGACTGTGTGTCAGATTTGTCATTTTGTGATCATTGTGTGCTTGGTAAGCATCATAAAACTTCTTTCTCCATGAGTATTAATAGAGTTAAAGGCATGCTCGAATATGTGCACTCTGATCTATGGGGTCCTACTAGTAATCCCACATTGGGTGGGAATAGGTATTTCCTGTCTATTATCGATAACTATACTAGGAAAGTGTGGGTCTATCTTTTGAAGGATAAATCTGAGACCTTTAATAGTTTTAACAATTGGAAGAGACAAGTGGAAAACCAA